TTTTCTTCCCACGTAGAGATGGGCTTCCCTGCAACCCACACTTCTTAGGGACCTCAGTGATGTTGTAGTTTTATGTGAACCGCTAAAATTGTAGGGTAAGTGTTTTTGAAATGGAACAGTGAAATGATGTTGGGAATCCATTGCTCATGCAAACACAAGGCCTGGAGACATGTCACATGGTCCCCGTAACCGGAAAAGGTGAAAGCCGGAGCCATTCCTACAGATGAGCGTTTGAGAGTGGCTCCACCCTCACAGGATGTCTAGGACAGCCTTGTGGCACCTGCCCCCTGGTGCTGGGTGCATTTATGAATTGCATCTTCTTCCCAGAGTCCCTGGATTTGTGTGATAAATATGGGGTAAATTCCATTGCTAGGAGCCTTCATTAAGTCTATAAGTTCTGGAACTTCCTTTTCTGAGAGTTGAAGTGGTCACCAGAGTTATAGTCAAGACTCTGAAAGCCATCTATCTAGTTGTACTTTCAAAAATGCTTATTAACATATACTTTTACTTCTTACAACACTTACCAGTTTTCCCATCACCCATAAAAGCCACAAAGAGGTTTTCTTTTTATGCAAGTGCTGCTGTCCTATGTTTTCTGCTTTATTTCCGTGTTTTCAAGTTGCAGAATGAAGCAGTAGAAAGACAAAGCTGCTTGAGGTTTAGTTTGGTGCTTTTGCTAGTAGAGTTGTACAGTCTGATGCCCCCTGAGGTGAACGATGACAGATTCATCTACCACTTAGGCATCTTAAAAATACTCCCATCTGGACTCTGTGGAGATGGGGCTCGGTCAGTGAAGGCCTTGCCTTGTGAGCAGTGGGACCTAAGTTTGATCCCTCAACTCCACATTGAAATTATACATGGTCCTGTATGACAGATGTGTTTATAATCTCAGTGTTGGGAATGTGGAAGCAGGAGCGTCCCTGGGGCTCACTGCCAGTCAGCCTAGCCTACTCAGTGAATTCATGGCCAGTTACATACCTTGTCTCAAAAAAAGAGTGAACAGAGCCTAAGTAATGACCAGAAGTTGTCTTCTGACCTCTACACACAAGCACCCAGTGTGCAAATGAACATGTGTGTGCGTGCGTGTGCACACACAAGAACACTCCCATTTATATTCTGTCAGACTCGCTATGGGAACCCTAACTCTGTTCTCTCTGTCATATGTCTTCTTTCATTTTCATCTGGCCCAGATATTCTGCCCGTCTCCCCCAGTGCCCTGGCTCTGCCCAGGCTCTCTGTGGCCACACCGTGGCGTATAACAGAAGCAGGAGCGGGGATTCTGCTGCTGCCCTGCATCTCAGCATCAGCATGGCGGGCTTATGCTGCTTGTTAAATGCCATCTCACTGGATGGATTTCACCAGAGTCAAGAAACTAGAGGCATCGCTAGACGTTGGAGAAACCTGTGGAGGGATGGCAGTCCAGGCTACTGGGCTCCTGTGTCTTGATGGAAGGATCCCCAAACTGATAGGAGGTGTGACTGGCCTGGGCCATTGTTAGCACATACTGATGAGTTCTGTAAGACAGCCTGGGCTCTGCCTTTCCTTTTTTTAACCGCTTAAACTTAACCATTACCCTTCGACCACAGGTCTCTCTCTGTAAGGCCTTTTCTTCTTGTTCCCTGCCGGTGTCTCATCACTTCTTACTGAGATCAGACTATAGGTGCCAAATAAAATAGTAATAGGTTATTGTTGTTCTCTCTCTCTCTTTTGTGTGTGCGCGCGCGTGTGTGTGTGTGTGTGTCTGTCTGTCTGTCTGTCTGTCTGTCTGTGTGCAGAGGCCAGAGGTTGGTGTTAGATGCCTTCCGCTATCTCTTCCCCTCCACCCTCCATTTTTAAGCTAGGATCTCCTTTGAACGTGAAGCTCACTGGTGCAGTCTTGTCTCCCAGCACTGGGGCTGCACGGTACACTACAACATCTAGCTTTTATGGAGGTGCTGGGCATCAAACTCAGGTCCTCACACTTGCAAGGCTACTGACTAAGCCATCTCCGTGGCTCCTTTTATTATTTTATTATTCTACAGAGAACTTGTAAGTCCACAGTTAGACTTGTTTATTAAAATGTACACTTGTCCTGGGGGCGGGGGGACTGATATGGACCGAGCACTGTTTTTAAATTGTGGAATCACAGATTAGCTCACAGAGTGGTAAAATGGCCCCAACGGTAGAAAGAACGGTAGGGGAGTTACCCTTTGACCTCCACAGGTGTGCCATAGCATGCACACATACACAGATAAATGACTGTAAAGATCTAAGTTGCAAGTAAGAATGGAAAAGGATTATTCTTATACTTATTGTCATAATTTGATGATGAAAAAATGTTCTTCAGCTCCGTGTGTTTCCCCCACTTCCTGTTTTTGTTTTCTAATGCTAGAAGGCACCAAGAAAGCTTTCAGAATTGTTAAATAAGTTGATTCTTTTTGTCGAGAGGAAGGAGGTCGCAGGTCGGGCTGTTGCTGTGACACGAAGGACAGACGCCAGGACAGGCCCGAGCAGTTTTGTTTTGAGGCACTCCACATGACTGAAGTGGGTAACAGACCCATGTGTGAATAGTCGGGGCTGCTGTTGGAGCAGCTCCTTCCTCACCCCTCAACCTCTGGCCTACAAACCAAACCTCTCACTTGAGGGTGTTAAGAGACCTTTATGTTGAATGCCTAACTGAACTTTGATAGCACATTCCTATTGCATTTCATCAAAAGCGTGCATTTAGCTGTTCATTCTACAATTATGGAGGGCCAAATTACCGTGAACTTTAAAACAAGGCATGTGTGACCATGAAGCAGATTCATACGGATCCTTCCCTGACCCATTTTAGGTTCTACTTGATGAAGAAGGGGGAGACCAGACATAGACATACTTGTCAGTGACCCCTGACTGCATGGAGAAATGCTAAGAGTACAGCAGCTAAAGTTCAGCGAGCAGACTCGAGGCCCCACCTGATTATAAACGCATCTATGCCTAAGTAATGATTCCTCACTTAAACACTTTCTATGCCTAAATAATGAGTCCTCACTATACCCTTCAGCGTAGATTCCCATTCCCCTGGCTCATGAAGTAAACAGAGCCTCTGAGTAATTTTGTTAGGTTCACGAGCCACAGTGACAGGAACTCATGGATGGTCCTCTGGAGCACTGAGGTTCTGCAGATGCTATACACAGTGTGCTCTTTCACCAGACAGCCCAATAGATATGGTTGCTTTGTTTCCTGACTATGGGGAAGCAAAGGCCTGAGAGCTGCCGAAGACGGACGGGATTCCTTTGTGGTAACCAGCACAGCTCTTGAGAACTGCTCTCCTGTAAGGCAGAGAGGCTCCCTCTTCTGCTGACTTGGGCCACTATGCTTGCCCATCCCCAAAGGTGCCTGTCACCTCCTGGGCTTTGGGGAAACTACAGGAGCCTTTTAGGAAGACATCCCTTCTCAGACCTAAGGGGTATAGGGCTGGAGTGTAGTGTTGATGACAGGGGTGCATGTCTGCATGGAATACATGTTAACACAGGGCCTTGTTGCTCTGCCCATGGCCTTATCTGCATCAGACCTAAGATGTGCCTATGCCTGTTCCCCAAGCCAATCCCAGCACCCGGTGAGATGCTCACTGCCTGCAGGGGAAGCCTTAGGTGTTTAGTAGATTATGGCAGCACCCCCAACAAGCCCCTGTATTCCAAAGTGGCACTGGCCCTCCTCCGTGTCTTCTCTATGCAGCTGGACTAAGGTGGCACTCACAGATGTCACCCCCGATGAAACCGGCAGCCAGTGGTAGCTCTTGACCGGTTCTACTCCAGCTTACAGGGTCATAGACTGCTGTCCAACCCGGAGAGCTGTTTCCATCTGAGGCTGACGCTGAAGAAGTCTGCCGATGATGGGGGTTTCTATATAGTTTGCGGAATCATTCATTCCAGGATTTTACGGGGCCAGTGGAGTAGAGGAATTTTGTGTTCAAGGTGGGTGGAGAGAGCATCAAAGAGTTACAAAGTTTTGTGCAGGATGCTTAGAACATAGACTGTACCGGTGGGAACCTTGGTTCTGTGAGAGGGAAGTAGACTTCTGAATCACCCACAATGACTTGACCTCGGAGTCCCTGGTCGTCAGTTGTTCTGGGACTGGGGTCTCTTAGAATTGCATAGTGAGAGAGAACTCAGGCAGCGGGCAGTCCCTGCCAAGTTCAGGCCTATCACTTCCTGTTCTCTGCACCAAGGGACTTCACTTCCTATGGCCTCTGTCTCCTTGTCTGTGAAGTGTAAATAATACTCTTCATGCTAACTAACATCACTATTTACCCATCTCCCTCTATTAATAATACAAGTCCCTCCCACACACAGCTACTGCACGCATCCCTAAAGGTGTGGTTCTTTTTGGACAAGGGAATGACTGAACCAGGAAATGATACAGAGACCTCGACTTTGGGGGAACACTCAACAGAGTTTCCAGTTTAAATTATCTGTCTAGTCAGTGTAGCCACAGAGTCGTTGCTAAAATTGAAATGTTGACTTTGACTAAAGGTGAAGGGAAAAAGGAACGGGCAAGAATGATTCTGGAATCCATCTAGGTTGGTGTAGAAAATGTCAGGACCACGAGTACTGTGTAACAGTAGACATCAAACATCTAAATCCAGGTGTCCTGTGTGTCTGCTGTGGGCAGGAAAGGTGGGGGGACAGTACCTGTCTCGGGAGAAGGGAGCAAGCCATACAGGAAGCAGGCTCACAGGAAGAAGGAAACAGCATCATTGGGTGGAAGGGGTGCATCTGTTTTCTGCTAGTTTGCTAGTTCACAGACAAACAGAAGGCTAGGCTGTAAACAGACTAATAAAAATCAGGGAGCCTGCGAATGAATGAGCCCCACCGTGTAGAAAGGAGATGCTTAGCTGGCTGTCCCTCCACAGACAGTCCTCGGTTATCACAGACAGGACTGCTGCAGATCTCCCTCGCCAATCGCCCTCCCCCACGGGCCGTCCCCCTTTCCACACCCCCTCAACGGTCAAGAGCTCACGGTCTTAGGAACAGAGGACTTCTGACTGTAATCCTAGCGCGTCACTTTGTTGAAGGCAAACACGTGGTTTGGGGAGCACTTATAAATCTCTGCTCCGGGCAGGATCGTGATGTTATCTGCTGGCAGCAGAAGGTTTGCTCGGAGCGGAGCTGCCGGAGCTGCCGGCCAGAGAGCCAGGGCGTGAGAGTGAGAGAACGAGCAGAGAGCTGAGCCGCAGGGCAGGGGACAGGGATGAAGGGCAGAAGCGTCAGGGTTTCAGGAGCCGTTCTGGAGCAACCCGGCTACAGAGAGGAGTAGGTATCAGCAGAGGTCTACTTTAGGGCGGCTAGTACCTTCTTACCCTAACTGAGAAAGTGCAAACTTGCTGGAAGCCAGGAGAGGCTGGGGAAGGGTGGGAGTCTCCGAGGCGCCCCGCGGCCAACGCGCCCAGGAGGCGGTGTTGTTCCACAAGGGGTGAAGAAGGTGGCCGGTCTCTGTCGCCCTGTGGCCGCCCGGAGCAAGAGAAGTAGGATCTGCAGGACGGAGCTGGAGGCTAGCCCCCTTTGCAGGCATCAGCGGCGGCTGCAACGTGGAACGACCCAGCCGGGTGTAGGCCACAGCGCGGCCACAGGAGCGGGATCGTCGCTGCCTGCTCCGGCCTCGGAGGATCTCCGGGGCGGACAGTACCCCCACCGAGGCCCCGAGTGAGCCGCGCCGGGGCGCATCTGCCTTCCCGCGGCTTGCCAAGCTCGCCCTCGGCGCGCGCACACGCACGCGCGCACACATCCACACGCACACTCGTCCACACACGTGTGGAAGGCAGGGCCGAGCCGCTCGGTCTTTGAACATCTCAGTTAGAGCCCGGCGCAGCCCCGGCTGCCGCTCTGCACTCTCCTGCCAGCCCCAGGACCTTCTCGTCTCTTCCCTTTTGGCCGAAGGATCCGAGTTCAGATCCGCCACTCCGCACCCTAGCCTGACACACTCACCCCCGCCCTTCCAGGGGAAAAACAAACCTTACTCCTCAAAGTGAGAGCCCCTACCCACACCCTTGAGCATCGCATAGTAACATCTCCACGTTGGGAACGCGTTGCATTTTCTTTTTTTAAAGGAGTCCCAGCCAGGGACATTTTTCTATTGGGCACTGACTTTCGATTGCTTTGCAAAAGTTTCGCATTAAAAGACAAACAAACAAACAAACAAGAAAAAAACTTTACCTGACCCGCTTTGAGAATTATTGGTTTCTTTATATTTATATATATATATATACTTTTTTCTTACTTTAAACAACAACACCAACGACGTTTCCACCTTTTAAAAACATGCACTACTGTGTGCTGAGAACCTTTTTGCTCCTGCATCTGGTCCCGGTGGCGCTCAGCCTGTCTACCTGCAGCACCCTCGACATGGACCAGTTTATGCGCAAGAGGATCGAGGCCATCCGCGGGCAGATTCTGAGTAAGCTGAAGCTCACCAGCCCCCCGGAAGACTATCCTGAGCCGGACGAGGTCCCCCCGGAGGTGATTTCCATATACAACAGTACCAGGGACTTACTGCAGGAAAAGGCAAGCCGGAGGGCAGCCGCCTGCGAGCGAGAGCGGAGCGATGAAGAGTACTACGCTAAGGAGGTTTATAAAATCGACATGCCGTCCCACTTCCCCTCTGAAAGTAAGTACAGTTTCCATGGTTTTCGCCTTCTCCATCCCCGAGTCTAAGGTTGGCCCGGAGCTCCTCAGAACCACAGCAGCCCTAGGCGTTCGCCCTTTCTTCTCCAGGTCCCCAAGTCCGGATCGGCTCCTTTCCATTCTGTCCTTCGCTCCTTCCATCTCTTTTCCAGTCGTGGGATGGAGATCCGCAGTTTTACAAATCTTCACCTTATGTTTTATTTTATTTTTTCTCTATAATTCCCTTCCTCAAACGCCCCAGTCCTTTTTAAAGACGTTTGGTTTTCTCCCTCTTCCCTGGCCCACCAACTAGGGAGTCAGCTCCCTTCTGTCAAAAAGAAAGTGCTTCCCAGATGACTTTAGGCTGGGGGACTGTGATCAACTTGTTTTCTTTGCTGGATGGCCTGGGGTAGGGGTGGAGGTGTCCTCCAACCGGTGCGCAAAGAGTTAAAAAAAAGAAGTGCCTCCAAACTAGCCTTCCCAAAGGCACCCCCTTCCCGTACTGACCTATTTGGGGGCTCCCCAAGCTTTTGCTATTGTTTCTCACTGCATCCCCAACACCAAGCAGGGTTGCGAGAGCGCCGCTTGCGGGGTGTTGGGGGGGGCGCTGAAAGCAACCCTTTAATAACCTCGATCTACTATCGCTCTCTCTGGGTGTTTTCCCACCCCCCTCCCCTCGCAAAACCGTGTAGCCAAGTCCTTTTCTGACCTCACGTGGAGAGTAGAAAGGACTAATAAATACGATTCTAACTGGGCTGAGTAGCTTTCACTTCCCGTTCTGTTTTTCTAGAGCAGGACGTTTTTTCTTGGGGGATTCTCTGATATCTTTTTCAACCTTGAACTCTGCTCCTGCACTTTCTTAAGCAGCAGGGACTCTTGAGCATTCCGAGATCGAATTTAGGAAAAACAGCTGCTTTTTTTTTTTTTTTGGCATTTTTACCGTCTCCCAGCGAGCATTGTCCTCAATACAGCTGGCATACAGTAGCTGTGATTTATTGTGGAGCTCTTTGGGGGAAAGGGAAGAAGTGTAGTTTTATTTCAGAGTTCTTTAAAGCAGGGAGAAAGGAGATTGTGACTGCAGCAGCACAGCACCGAGTGATTACCTGAGAGGGTTAAACACCAGGAAGAAACACTAAAAGAAAACTAAAAACTTCAGCATCCCTGTGTTCCAAGTCCCGGTCATAAACTTTTCATTGGCTGACGCTGACCCTTTCTCTCCTCCCTTTTCATGCCTATATCCTCGCTGGCTGCCTTTGTGAAGCCGATGTCTTGCCTAAATAGATAACGCAGCCATCTTGGTAATTTTATCCCAGAAGTTAGAATTGCAGGGCTGTGCTTTTCTCTTCTAATATTTATTTTTAGTTTGACGAGCCACCCCTATTGGACTTGCCTTGTCTTGTACTGGGTGTCCTCAGAGTGTCTACCCATGTGTCTGCCTGCACTCTTTCTTTCTGGTCACTTTTCTTACCCTGTAAAGTCTCTTGCTGCTTCATGGAGTAACAGATGCAGGGAACCCTGCCCAGCAGGATAATTTTATTATTATAATTATGGCTCTTACCACCGCAGTGGTGACACTTTCACCGCCCTGTTTATCACCCCCTGGGAAATAAGACTTTCTATCTGGGATGGAGCCACAGCATGGCGAGGGAAGAGAGTGCATTGTAATTCAGTCCAGAACCATTGAGGCTGAGCAAAGGGTTGAGTCAGTTAGCTTTCTCCCGCATGTGTGCCTTGATTCTGCGACAGACAGGTATGCTATATGGGGCCGAATAACACCTCCTTATGTGTTTACATGCAAAAGCTCAGATTAGCTGCCTGGGTGTTTGCAAAGACAGAAGATGCAGTCTCACATTGCCTAGGTGTTGAGGGAGGTAGCACTTCAGTCTGGTGGGTAAAGGTGAGCAGGACAACCCAGGGCCATGGTCATGAACAAAGCAGAAATATTCTCAGCTTATCAGGAGGATTCGACAGTGCCATCTAAGATTAATGTGTGGATTCTCATCTCCAGCCCATCCCTGAACCTCCAAATGCATGAATGCCTAAAGACTACATACTTGTGCATGGACACATACACACACTATACACACGGATGCCTTCATATTTTCACATGAGAAATAGAGATTTAAGGAACTGTGTGTCCAGTGTAGACTCTTAGGAGTAGGATGTTGTATTAATAGTAGATTCAACACAACTGCACAGGGACTGTGGATAATTTTATAGAAAGTAGGTTAACTGATTTTCCAGAACTAGAAAGTCCTGGAATATAGTGAGAGCTTCCAAAAAAAAAAAAAAAAAAAAAAGAAGAAGAAGAAGGAGAAGAAAAGAAAATCTTTCCATTGCATTTTTAAAGCAAAGAAAACTGGAAGTATAGCTATATAGCTATGGGTGGCTTAGATGCCAGCTTCTCCCCTTTGGCATTGTCTGCCTGACTGGGGACTAGGCTGTCACTGTGGTGTCCCAAAGGAAGCATGTACCTGTTATGTCTTGCAGTGAATCTGAAGAGGGGCCATAAGTGCATAGAGGAAGGCATGGGAAAGATCGCCACTTCTTTTTTCTTTACTTTTTTTCCCTCCACCAACTTATTAGTGTTCAGGGAGTGACTTCGACTCAAGTATTACAAATATGCCCTAATTATACTTGGTGACTATATATCACTACAGATGGTTGATAGCCCTTGGTGGGACATTTTATAAAGTTCAAACTCAATATTTTTAGCAATGTGGAGATTTAAAAGTGAAAATATAAGAGATATTGTATATGCCCTCAGGCATACTTTGTCTTAAATATTATCCTTGGCCAAGTGTGCTGTATAAATAAAGTAGATATTAATAGAACTGGCCAGGTGCCAAGCTCCTAGTATGAATTTTAGCCAAGAATGTATTTATGGGGATATAAATAATACTATGTCAACATTTAAAGAAGAGATCTGATTAGTTTTGAATTTCTTCATATTGATCTTTTCGCATACTGTTAGTTTAAGACTCGAAGTGGATTTGGGCTGTAGTTTACTGATTGCTGACCCAGTAGAACTTAGTTGATGGTGGACAGTTTGACTATCCCTTTGAAGTTCAAGGTGCAGCTGTTCAAAAGGCGATGTACAAGGCTTTAGAAGTTCTGAAAAATCGACTCTGCTACATCTAAGAAGAATCTAAATTGATACTCACACCTGTAGAGATGTGGTGAGGGAAAAGGAAGTTTCTCTTTTGCTTATTTGTGTTTGTTTAAATCTGAGGCCTTTGTATTTCGAGGAAGCAATTCCTACCACTGGGTTGTATCCCAAACCTTGTTTGTTAAGATGAGGCCTCAGGATACAGCTCAAGCTGGCTTTAAAACTTGTGGTATAGTCTAGGTCATCCTCCAGCTTGTAACCTTTGGGCCTCACCTTCCCTAGTGTTGGGGCTTCAGGAGTTCACGGCGTGCTTGGCTCCCCTCTGTTTTCTTCACAGCAAAGCAGGCGCATGTTATAGGTCTAACTCTGGCAGGCTTGTACCCTGCCCTTCCCTCCCCCTGCTGTCCTCTCCATACTGCTTCTGCTGTGACAACTGACAATGTCTGAAAACAGTTTTCATTGTCCTGGGTGGGGTGTTGCTGCTGCTGATCTTCATTAGCTAGAAGCCAGGGATATTTCTAGCCTATCACAATGAAGAGGGCAGCCTACCCAACTTCTCCATATACCAGAGAATTATCCAACCTCAAATTTCAATGGTGCCCATGGAGGGAAGCCACAGTTCTCTGGTGTCTAGCTTGGGCTACTGAATTCTGCTCCTGGTACTATTTTAAAAGTAATAGCAACAAGAAAGTATCTTTGTGATCAAAAGATAATAGAATAAAATCATCAAATAGGGAATAATCAGAATAGAATATGGACTAGGCTGTTGTGTGTGGCATATACTTTCTGATTGTGATATTGAAGCTCCTACATTAGAGACAATCAAGTTTCCCATTCATTGACCTTCAGTAGCAGGGTTGGTCCCTCATTTACTAGGAATGCCCGTCAATATCAGTCAGATGCCAGTCAACACATAGAAAAAAAGGTAATAGGGAAATTATCTTGGATTTTCCAATTTGTGTTAATGAAGAGTGAATCTGCAGCCTGGGCAAGCAAAGGAAGCAGACAGCCATGTTGTCTTATTCTATCTCCTAGAATTAGGTGACCTGAAGAATATAGCCTGGAAAAATCAGAGCTAGGTTTCCTTTGTAATGGTTTCACACGAAGGGTAAGCATTTAGCACTAAGCAGTTCTCCTTTTCTGGTACCCCTGTAGTTTTCCAAGTGAGATTGTGGGATGTACCAACGACACGATAGTTTTGGGGAATGTGACTTAGTATTCTATCCATGAATCCGTCTTTCTATATACAGATTGCTGGTCTATTAGGCCAACTGCCCAATGAAGGAGAGTGTTAACAGAACACAGTGGATGTATATTCTCTCCTGAACGCTTGTCTGTGTGTGTTTATATATGAATATGTGTCAGAGAGAGGAAGGAGGGTAAAGACTGGCTTAGACCTCTTGACTTCCACAATGACTGTTATTAATGCACAACAGGCCAGACTCTAATTCCCTCTTTTTATTGCATCGTGGCCAGCACTACCTCTAATGCCTAACAGTGGTTACACTTGAGTTCCTCTGCATTCCCCTCCTTCACGATTTCCTTCATTTTTACTTTGCAGGCTAGGTGAGAGAAACCTCAAATTAAAACACGGTTTACAGCTGAAACGGGCAGGTGGTTTTTGTTGCCAAGTGAGGCTGTCCCCTCTCCTGAGTAGACCTCCATGTTTTAAAGACTGGGGTTCCCCAAGATTAAAGAGCAGGTGTGGTCCACTTAGCCGCACCTCTGGGTCTCCACAGCGCCCCCCGTGGTCAAGGCGAGGAGACGCAGGTTTTGAAAGTTGTCTTCTTGGTGGAAGGATGCTGATGTAACCTCCTCAGGCACCTTCCGTGTAAAGATATGAAAGAATGACAAATCGTTTTTCCTAGAGGAAATGGAGATGTTAAAGAAGGGCT